CATAGAGCTGAAACGATTGAACACTGACGTTTTTTTCAATAATCTACAAACAATTTAGTAATCATGCTGCTGTTTACAGACTGCTGCTCTGGAATGGGACTTTAAGACTCTATATCTAATAAAAGGTTTAACTTATTACGTCCTGTTTCTGAGGGGACAGTGTGTATTAATGAACAGCAGATGCTGTAGATACTAATATATCAGTGGTCAGAGGACTGAGGGGAGAACAATGGAGGCGTGCGTATATGATCGTTCTGAAACAGCGTTGAGTGTAAATGACAATGAAAACAATGAATAAATATTTATTGATTTTTTTAAAAACTAAATAGATTTTATATTTTTTCTAATTTAAATATCTTGTTATTCTATATTATTTTATTATAATATATATATATATATATATATATATATATATATATATGTTTTGATATTTTTACATTCATATTTTGAATTTATTATTCATAAGTAAAATGTGAATGCATCAATAGTTTTGTTTGAACAGATGGATTGTGTTTTGGATAAAGCCTTTATTTTCTATTGAATGTTTTTGTATCAAAGTGAAAGTCTCTGCATCGAGAGGCAGAGTCAGAAAGAAGCCCAGCCCCAACTTATACACCACCTAAGAATGGATATGTTTCAGCTTTTGACCATGTTCCCTTTGAGAGAGTGACTTATATCAGTTCAGTTTGTGTTTATCTGAACTGTTTGAGTCTCTGATCTGTGTTGGAGAATCCACAGCTTTGTAAAGTTCTCTGAGATAAATACTGCTGTGATATAGGACTGTACAAAAATAAATGAAAGTGAATAGAGTCAGAGACATGTTCTGAGCCACGGCAGCTCTTGCTAATGCTACATGCTAACGTTACTTCAACACTTCCACTTCCACAGCATATTGTGCAGCCCTTCTCCACCTTTATGGCATAAGCAAAGGGAACGCTCCAAACACAAGGATACGACAGCCTACCTCTACACACAGGCATCCACAACATCTCATATCAGGAAAATTAACCCAAAAGAAGAAACATTTAGAGTAAGATACAGTGCTGATCATCGAAACTAAGACGCTGCTACACAATGTTCTCGATGCGTGAATTCTTTATGATCCCGCTTCAAAAGTTTGCATACGGTTTTGTAATCCCAGTCCCATGCTCAAAGCAAAGTGTCCAAAGTGTTGTGCTGTAGATTTTCAAAATAAAGCTCTGGTAGAGGTGAATCTTCTTGTTTTTTTTCTTACTACAAAGTAAAAGTTTCCTCCCATGCGCTGAGTGACTATGGCTGACAAAACGGTGTGGGCCCAGTCTCCTTCAAAGTCCCCTGTAAGAAATGTGCTGAAGGGAACACGACGTCAGCGCGCAAACTATTCTGTTTTTTTGCTTGGTCGATTTGTACACGGTGTTAGAAAATTGTACAAAACTGGAAGCCACTGTCAAAAAACCAAAGAAAAGTACGTCACGCGGGGTCACTGGACGGCCACGCGCTCTTAAAGGTTCTTCTCTACAAAAATAGTTGTATAGAAATCACAGCATCACACTGACATCGTACGCAGGTAAAAAGGTAAATGCAATTCCGTCATGCAGTTCCTCCAGTAGCTCTTGTATCCAGATGGTTTTGGTTTGCGCACCTCCTGTTGCGACGCTCCGGATGATTCTGTGATGAAGAGGAAAGAAAAGTCCATGCAAATCCGTCTGTAGCCTTTCCCTCACAGCCAGGCTCTGATGACAAAGTAAATCCTCCAGACCAGACAAGGAAAGAGTCATTAACGAAGAGGATAGAAGTCTTCAAACTCAAGAAATCTGTGATGATGGAGTGGTTCAGGTCCCAGCGCTCGGCGGCGTTCGGGGCCTCGCCGAAGCCCAACAGGAAAACACCAGCCCATCGTTTGTAATTCCAAAAGAGTCCGTCAGCTGTGAGCTCAGCCCGAGGGCGCCCTCTGGAGGAGGACGCACACATCGCGGGGAAACAGTTTGTTTTGGACGACAGTATCACTCACGGAGGCCCCTGTGGTCAGGAGGCCCCTGTGGTCAGGAGGCTGTGTGGATCCAGAGCAGAGACAGACAGAGCAGGTTTCATCTATCTTTACGACAGGGGCCCACAGCGCTCTGGCTGGAGCTCTTCCCTCGCAGGGTCTGCTCTCTGGCTCCTCTGGAAGTGTCCGTCCAGGGGCCCATAATGTCCTTGTGCTGCTCTGTACGGGACAGCAGGGCCCCGGGGTCCAGGCTGCCTGTGCTGTTGCACTTCTTCACTCCTCCTATAGGGTACAACAGAGAGCTGAGCGACAGGCTGCTGAGGGCCTCGGACAGGTGCTCGCTGTTGCCGCCCTGACTGGAGGGCCCCAGCACGATGCCCAGGTCCTCATCTGAGGGGTCCATGGAGTCCTCCCGCGTGTACCCAGGGCTGGTGCTGCCTCGCCCACTGCTCTGGCTGCGCTGGTGCCCCCTGATGGCCTGCAGGGTGAGGGTGGAGGAGGGAGGGGGCCGAGACACGGGGCACAGCAGAGGGGGGGCCGCGGAGGGGAGGGGCCCCACCTGAGGAGGGGACACACTGAAGCTCAGCCCCTCCTCCAGAGTGGTCTGCAGGCTGCCCTCAGAGCTGCCTGTGGCCAGGGACGAGTCACTGTGGGAGGGGTACTGTGGAGACACACACACAAAGACACACACGCACACACAAAGACACACACAAAGACACACACACACACAGGTGTTAGTCACAGCGCAGTAACACACAGCGGTTCACACTGAACACAGTTTCACACCTGAGAGCTGAGCTTCTTGGTGCGGGCCCCTGGAGAGCGCAGAGAGGCCCAGGAGCGTGGGGACGTGAGTCTGAGGCCCCTGGTCAGTCTGAGGCCCCTGGTCAGTCTGAGGCTGCTGCTGCGAGGGGCCCCTGAGGGGGCTGTGGGGTGGAAGAACTCTGTGGGCAAGTGGAGCAGGGGCCAAAACCCACCGGCCCCTCCCTCACTGCTCCGGTCTCTGTGACTGGAACTGGAGACTCCCCCTACAGGTCACAACAGCACTTAGATATGACATGTGTGTGTGTGTGTGTGTGTGTGTGTGTGTGCTGAGTGTATGTTATATGCTGAGTGTATGTTGTATTGATGCAAAGTGCCTGTGTGCATTAAGTGCACTGAATTGTTAACATTCTGTGTGTAGTCCATGTTGTGTAGTCTGTATGTGGTGTGTGTTTGTGTGTGTAGTATGTATGTGGTGTGTGTGTAGTAAGTATGTGGTGTGTATTTGTGTGTCTGTATGTGGTGTGTGTTTGTGTGTGTAGTCTGTATGTGGTGTGTGTTTGTGTGTGTGTATGTGGTGTGTGTTTGTGTGTGTAGTCTGTATGTGGTGTGTGTTTGTGTGTGTGTATGTGGTGTGTGCTCTCACCAGGGCTGCTGGGGGCGGACTTCACGAGGGCCTCATTATTCTGAGCCTCAGACTCCTGCAGGTTGCTGTCCGTCTCTAGACACTGCTCAGACGCCTGGACCAGACTCTGGACCAGGACCTGAGTGAGCTGAGCCCTGCCCCCCCCGGACTCCTCTGAGCTGGGAGAGCTGCTGCTGAAGCCGCCCTGAACACACCAAGAAGACAGGACACATCTGAAGTCAAGTTTGAAAAAGAAAGAGAGGATGAGTTTCATTCATGTTGATATTTTGGATATTTCAATTCTATAAATTGTGAATAATGTGGGTCCCAGTACTGACCCTTGTGGTGCCCCAAAGGTTATGCCCCTACAACTTCATCAGTGATCATGTGAACATCCACTCTTGGACACTATGAAGTTAAAAAGCTACTACGCAGCTGTTTTTGATTATACTTTCCTAGACATTTTCCATTCCACGCTTTGTTCTGAAGATTTGCCAAATATTGTTTTTTATCCAATCACTTTTGACTTTGAAAACATGAGTACTGAAACAAAGAAAAGCTTAAAGTAGCGTTTTATTGACAATGAAATTCATCTCTTAACTGTAAACTGTCCCTGTTGCATCCTCTTGTTTTCAGAGAGAATTGTCAAACGCCTAAACACACGTCCTTTTCACGCAGAACAATGGCCGACAAGTCCACACGGTAACCTTGTCTCCGGGCAGCCCCTGTACTCCCGCTCCGCTCCCGTAACCACTGCGCTGGACTTATCGGGCTACACAGAACCCACGAGCCCTGCCCCTCTGCTCGGCCGGGGCCAGGGGACGAATAAGGAGCCAGGGGCCGATAAGGAGCCAGGCAGGGAAGGAGATAAAGAGGAGGCGGAGGAGAGAGAGAAGGAGAAACCAAAGAGAGGACGAGAGACCGGAGTGACCACCGCAAAGTGTGGAGAGAGATAGAGCATAGACTTGTAAGAATTATCTGAGCCTGGTGCTACAATGCTTTAGTAACTATTGTGGATAATGTATTGCAAAGAAACGATGCATTTTTATTTTCTTACTGTAAATAAGTTGTTTGTTTGGTTATCAATACCAGAGATATCTTTCACACACACACACACACACACACACACACACATACACGTTTTTGTTACCTGGTGGGTCCCTTTGACAGGGCCGTTCAGAATGGGACCCATAGACATAATCTTTTTTTACTGGGACTACTTTAAGTAATACAAAACAGTCAATAGAAACCAAACAACTATTTTAAAGGAATTTTCTTTTAGATTTTGTTTTCGAATTGCATGATTCTATTTTTGACATAGAATTTAATGCCACTCCATGTCCGATGTCTAAGGTCATCTGGTGAGGCATTAATGCAGGCCAGGCAGTGAGACTTCCCAGGGACCTTTCCAGTCTGTATGAAAGGTGTCATGGTCTTCTCCACAGCCTTCACCTCAGATGCAGACCATGGCTTTCTTACACGTTCTAGGGAGAGAAATAAAAATATATTAGCGATATACACTCCCAGGGTGAGGACCAAGCAGCCTGGCTGTAATCCCCCACCTGGTACACTTACCAGAAGGGGCACTGCCACTACCATGGGGTGCATCTGGATGAATGGTTGAAGGTTCTCCGCTTGAAGTTTCTTTTAGCCCGTCCGTTTGTGAGAGGATCTCTACTGCTCTCCCTGTCGCACAGAAAATAAAAATACAAGTGGCCTTTAGGGGAAAAAAATCATACATATTTTAATAATATCAAGAATTACCTTCAGGCTCAATTTGTATCTGGTCGAGGCTCTTTCCTTCGAATTCCGTCACTCTTCCCTGCTCCATGGCCATCAACACTTTGCTGATTTTGGCCAGCTCCAGTGTCCCCTCTGGTAGTCTGTAATATTGCCTGTGGATGCGAATGTCATGGCCGAGGAAGTTGGCAAGTATGTCCATCTCATTCTCTTTCATATTGAGAACTGTAGACATAGTAGCTATGTGCTTTCTAAGTTTGGTTGAGGATAGCATCTCTGGATGCACCGCACCACATTCTTTGGCTACCTGGCGTAGGGAGTCTGATCCCCTGATGTGGGTGTCTGCGCCCGGGCGGGAAAAGAAGTATGGGTTATGGTCAGAGATGGAACAGGCCCTTCTGTTCTCCACCAGCACCTCCATCGAAGCAATCATTTCAGGAGTCAAAAGAACCGGCACTTTCCGACTTCTTTTCCCTTTAATTTCAATGCGTTGAAAATGCTGACACAGCTTTTTCTCAAGTTGGGACAGTCCCAGAGCAATGTCAGAATGGATCCCAGTCTTACTTCTTAAGGTAAAGGCTGTCAGTGGCATCTTTGAAACCTCACCTTCCCTTCTTCGATTGAAAATGATGACCTCACAAAGAGTCAAAACTGCCAGTTTAGACCAATGCTTAGACGTTGGCTCACTTATTAGGGTTTGCACATATTCAGGTCGACATACCTCAATATGTGCATGCATGGCTCTAACGTCCTCAGTCAGAGGGAGCAGGTCCGGAGTGTTCCACTTGGCTTGCCGGAGGGTCTGTAGGGCAGCAGAAGAAACACAGACGTCCCACCTCTTCTCAAAAAGCAGCCGGCTTCGTTGGAGGTTTTTAATAAATAGTTCATCAACACAATGCTCCATTTTTGAGTCACATTCAAGAATATCTGCTAGCTTTCTGAGGCTATGGCCGAGTTTGAGGGCCAAGGATGGAGTCTTGTATTGATTTGTTTCCTCATCATATCCAGCCACAGACCTGACTGCATCAATCACATGGTTAAAGTTGGAAGGAATAAAGAAATCCTTAATTGTTTTCAGTTTCCCTGCGGTTTTTGCTTCGTTAATTAACCTACCGACTTCTCTCATTTTCTGCCTAATGTAATCATGCTTTGTCTTATCATGCCCGTGTTTTAAGTACAGGTGCTCTCCGAGTCTCAGAATCCCCTTTTCTGCTTTGACAACACCCGTGACCTCATCCGATGCATTGCCGAAATTAAAGACCACAGCTTTTTGCTGATGCCCTCCGGTACAGGCTGGGCTAGGGAGCAGAGGGACTGGACCCTACTTCTACCTGGTTTAGCCTGGGCATCTTTCTGTGAAAGCCGGCACCTGGCCACATGCCTCCACAGCGACTTTCGCTTAAGCAATGCCCCACAGTCTATACAGTGCAAAAACTCACTGGATTTAACTGGGGAATTTGGCTGTTTAGCTGGGACTAAAGTTCCAATGCCGGCCTTTAAAACCTCAAAATTGTGCTCACGGTTTCCACTATTCCTGATCAAATCAAACTGAAGTTTACGTGCTTTAGATTTCACAGGTAGAGCCAATGCTCTGGCTACGTCACTTTCATTTCCATGTTTTCTAGTCAAATGACGGGACATTTTGTGGCAGGACATTGAACAGTAGAGGCAGAAGTGTCTCTTGCTGTATACTCGCCCCCCATTTTTCTTCTTTTGCAGCTGCATGATAACAATCTTATTTGCCTTTGGTTCGTCACTTTCCGAGTCTTGAAGAAAAGTGTTTTTGATTTTTCTTTTTCCATACTTTTTTACAGGTTTCTTCTTGACAGTTAAATCGTCAGAATCTGAGTCGACTTCATCAATTAGGGACTCTTGACTAAGCTGCACAAACAACAAATAATTTGTAATCATTCTATATAACAATTTGAAGTCATGACTTGTAGTCAGCACTTACCAGTGGTTTGTAAGCGTGCGCTTCAGTGTGCTCCTCCGTGATTTCTTGCAGCCTAATGAACCACACACTTGCACCTTTTTCTAGCCTGACACCTGATTTCCTCTGTTGTGCTGCTCCATGATTGGCTCCAGCCTCTGTTGTGCTGCTCCATGATTGGCTCCAGCCTGCTGGACTGAAATTGCCCCAGTGTGCCCCTCCTTGATATCCCGCAACCCACCACCAGGGTTCCGACACATAACACACTTTTTTCAGGAAAGTAAACCTCCAGGGGTCCTTTCCATATTTTTACAGAGACTGCATAAGGACCGTTAGAAAAGCATTACCCATTGATTATTAAGCTTGGACCAGTGGGGTCCGGTGTTCGGGCCCCACCACGCTAAACCAGTCCCCATGACGTGAGTGGAATCTCAGGTTATGGAACCCACCAGGAGTTGAAAACAAGTGCACACACACACACACACGCACACACACGCACACACACACAGACACACACACACACACACACACGCACACGCACACGCACACACAGATACACACACGCACACGCACACGCACGACATACAGACTACACACACAAACACACACCATGAATATGTAGCCGGGTCTTACCATGTGTAAACTCTGGTCCATGATCATGTCCTACATGTACGTCTGGTCTTACCATGTGTAAACTCTGGTCCATGATCATCTCCTACATGTACGTCTGGTCTTACCATGTGTAAACTCTGGTCCATGATCATCTCCTACATGTACGTCTGGTCTTACCATGTGTAAACTCTGGTCCATGGTCATCTCCTACATGTACGTCTGGTCTTACCATGTGTAAACTCTGGTCCATGGTAATTTCCTACATGTACGTCTGGTCTTACCATGTGTAAACTCTGGTCCATGATCATCTCCTACATGTACGTCTGGTCTTACCATGTGTAAACTCTGGTCCATGGTCATCTCCTACATGTACGTCTGGTCTTACCATGTGTAAACTCTGGTCCATGGTAATTTCCTACATGTACGTCTGGTCTTACCATGTGTAAACTCTGGTCCATGGTCATTTCCTACATGTACGTCTGGTCTTACCATGTGTAAACTCTGGTCCATGGTCATTTCCTACATGTACGTCTGGTCTTACCATGTGTAAACTCTGGTCCATGGTAATTTCCTACATGTACGTCTGGTCTTACCATGTGTAAACTCTGGTCCATGGTCATCTCCTACATGTACGTCTGGTCTTACCATGTGTAAACTCTGGTCCATGGTCATCTCCTACATGTACGTCTGGGTCTGATCCTATTGGCTGCAGTTTCCTCGGTTGAATCCGACCAATCAGAGAGCGGGGGAGGCGGGTGTTGTAGGTCGGTGTCGGTGCCGGAGCAAGAGGAATGTTTAGTAAATGTCATTGAAGCAAAGATGTTGTGGCTCTACTCCCCACGGGCTCCGTTAGTGGCAAAGGAGATGGCTAAAGCTAGGCTACATGCTAAAGCTCGGCTAAATGCTAAAGCTAGGCTAAATGCTATATGCTAGGCTAAATGCTAGCGACTCACTTAGATCCAATCGTTTCAATCTGTAAAAGGAGTTAACAGGAGACCTGTTAACGAAGCTCACTATAATTTACACTGTAGTCAGCAGGAGGTAGAAAAACAGCACCAGGAAAAGAGCACCAGGAAGACAGCACCAGGAAGACAGCACCAGGGAGACAGCACCAGGGAGACAGCACCAGGAGGAGGACAGGAGGTGAGGAGTTTATGTAAAGACAGAACAGGGAGAAAGAGCCGGAGGGAGGAACAATATGGACAGTGTGTTATTTCCTGAGGGTGAATACAGCGGAATCTGAGAGTGTGTGTGTCACCAGAGACTTTGCATTGAAAGCCGACGCAACGCATGATCTAGTCTGAAAGCACCATCAAGAAGAACCAGGACTTCAATGTTTACCACTGACACCTCCAGGACCAGAAACAAGGATCATGTTCAACCCCATCCAACGGTTTGGATTGGGCTTAACCAGTATATACCTAACATTTCATATGGATTCAGTGTAATTATTATAAATACAGCAATATATTACATATATTACAAATACAGAATATAAAAACCCCATTCCATAAATACCAGCGTTGGAAGAATAATGAAGGAAAATAAAATGTATTATAAAGTGTATAGTGTTTTTGTAGTCACTTGTCCAACACTGGTGGCTGCTAGTGCTGGTTTGTTGCTGGTGCTAGTATGTTGCTGGTGCTAGTATGTCGCTGGTGCTAGTATGTCGCTGGTACCTGTGCAGAGAGGAGAGGGTCCGCGGTGGTCTCGTCCAGGCTCAGCTCGTCGGGGAGGGCGGGGGAAGAGGACTTGTCCGACAGCTGCTCAGACTTGAGCGAGGCCTGCTCTATCTCCGCCATCTTGATCTGCTGCTGCGGACAAAGCTCCTCAGAGTCACTCACAGCAGAGACGCAACAGAAGATCATAAAGTTATTTAAATAAATACATGTGGTTCAGGAGTTTGGACTGAAACACTGCAAAAGAAAGTACCCACACAACTTAAAATGTATTCAGAATAGTTCACCTGGACTGATGTATAAACAGTTAGTTTGTGGCATTTTTGACAGAAGAAGTAATGGAGGCGGCAAAGTGGGCGGAGCTTAGGTTTACCACGTTTAATGTTTGAAGTATAATAATATCAGGTCTTGTCGTCATTACTCACCAGAACGCTGATCGGCCCCTACATGTTTTCACTAAAATCAATGAGTACATTTCTTAATAAGTTATGGTGAGTAGAGTGAATTTTATAATATTATTTAAATACTAAATGCTTCTTTTGTCGCTTAATGTCTTCATTGATGAAAGAACGATATCGTCTGTAGAGGTCGCTTCAAGACGAAACAAAACCTCGAGAAGCCGCACACGCTTCGACAAACGCGGAACATTCAAAGTGGAACCTGTTTGTGAGCAGAGCAACACGAGGGGAACGTTTAAGGGTAGCACATGTTTTTCTCATCAACAGTTCCAGCGAAGCCACGGGAGCTTCCTACTATGGCTTTTGTTATTATGAATTGGTACAATGCCCATATCATCAAAGGATTCTACTCTATCAATTACATTATATTAACATTATATTAACATTATGACTGTTTTAAAGCAGTTTCCAAACCCGTAGAAGAGGAAATGTGTTAAAAAATAAATGATTAAATATATATATCTTTGCTCTCATGATAGTTTGGTTCTATCACAAATGTTCACATGACTTTTGGCTTCTCTCACGTGTTTAGATACTTATAAAAATATATATAAAGATTGTATATAGTCAATTTTTGTAAAACTAGCAGCGAGATTTTCTTGAGGCCAATAATCAGCCCAATGGCGAGGATTGATTTTATCCAATGAAGACGCTTTGGGGGAAAGAAGAAGCCGGTCCAATGAACTTTTCTCTGTTTCTTGACAACATTTAAAAAGAAACTGCTTCAATAAAAAACAGCTAAGTTTGGACTTCTATAAATAATAATAATAATGATAGTCGGATTAAAGTTGAATGCATTTGTATTGACTTCAGAGCAGACAACAACCTGAGCAGCTGTTTCGGTTTGGTTTCCATGGTTTCTGACAAATAATGTTTTAATGGTGACTGTTACGACCCACAATTCCCTGTTTTGGGGATTACTTTACTCTCTCCCGCGGTGTCTCATGGGGTTTGTGGTTTCCTCCCTTTACAGTAGACCAGGCTCGTGAGTCCTGGGCTCTGATTGGTCAGTCGGGAGTTGATTGACTGCAGTGCCAGGGTTCTGATTGGCCAGTAATTTGTAATTTGTAATTTTCTTTATTTAGAGAAACAGGGACAGTGTACAATAAACATTAACCCCAAGGGGAGAGATGCATTGTACCAAGTTATAGCTCAAGAGCTAATTTCCACCCGTAGTCCCTGGGCAGGCTGATGTTATAGTAAAAAAACATAAAAAACATCATGCACACATGGATAATGGCATTTACATTGATCAAGTTCATAATAGTAAAAGCAGTCGGGAGTTGATTGACCGCAGTGCCTGGGTTCTGATTGGCCAGTCGGAGGTTGATTGACTGCAGTGCCTGGGTTCTGATTGGTCAGTCGGGAGTTGATTGACTGCAGTGCCTGGGTTCTGATTGGCCAGTCGGGAGTTGATTGACTGCGGTGCCTGGGTTCTGATTGGCCAGTCGGGAGTTGATTGACGCAGTGCCTGGGTTCTGATTGGTCAGTCGGGAGTTGATTGACTGCAGTGCCTGGGTTCTGATTGGCCAGTCGGGAGATGATTGACCGCAGTGCTTGGGTTCTCATTGGCCAGTCGGAAGTTGATTGACTGCAGTGCCTGGGTTCTGATTGGCCAGTCGGGAGTTGATTGACGCAGTGCCTGGGTTCTGATTGGTCAGTCGGGAGATGATTGACCGCAGTGCCTGGGTTCTGATTGGCCAGTCGGGAGTTGATTGACTGCGGTGCCTGGGTTCTGATTGGCCAGTCGGGAGTTGATTGACTGCGGTGCCTGGGTTCTGATTGGCCAGTCGGGAGTTGATTGACTGCGGTGCCTGGGTTCTGATTGGCCAGTCGGGAGTTGATTGACGCAGTGCCTGGGTTCTGATTGGTCAGTCGGGAGTTGATTGACTGCAGTGCCTGGGTTCTGATTGGCCAGTCGGGAGATGATTGACCGCAGTGCCTGGGTTCTGATTGGCCAGTCGGAAGTTGATTGACTGCAGTGCCTGGGTTCTGATTGGCCAGTCGGAGGTTGATTGACTGCAGTGCCTGGGTTCTGATTGGCCAGTCGGAGGTTGATTGACTGCAGTGCCTGGGTTCTGATTGGCCAGTCGGGAGTTGATTGACGCAGTGCCTGGGTTCTGATTGGTCAGTCGGGAGATGATTGACCGCAGTGCCTGGGTTCTGATTGGCCAGTCGGGAGTTGATTGACTGCGGTGCCTGGGTTCTGATTGGCCAGTCGGGAGTTGATTGACTGCGGTGCCTGGGTTCTGATTGGCCAGTCGGGAGTTGATTGACTGCAGTGCCTGGGTTCTGATTGGCCAGTCGGGAGATGATTGACCGCAGTGCCTGGGTTCTGATTGGCCAGTCGGAGGTTGATTGACTGCAGTGCCTGGGTTCTGATTGGCCAGTCGGGAGTTGATTGACGCAGTGCCTGGGTTCTGATTGGTCAGTCGGGAGATGATTGACCGCAGTGCCTGGGTTCTGATTGGCCAGTCGGAGGTTGATTGACTGCGGTGCCTGGGTTCTGATTGGCCAGTCGGAGGTTGATTGACTGCGGTGCCTGGGTTCTGATTGGCCAGTCGGAGGTTGATTGACTGCGGTGCCTGGGTTCTGATTGGCCAGTCGGGAGTTGATTGACTGCGGTGCCTGGGTTCTGATTGGCCAGTCGGGAGTTGATTGACGCGTGCCTGGGTTCTGATTGGTCAGTCGGGAGTTGATTGACTGCAGTGCCTGGGTTCTGATTGGCCAGTCGGGAGATGATTGACCGCAGTGCCTGGGTTCTGATTGGCCAGTCGGGAGTTGATTGACTGCGGTGCCTGGTTCTGATTGGCCAGTCGGAGTTGATGCGCAGTTGGTTCTGATTGGCAGTCGGGAGTTGATTGACTGCAGTGCCTGGGTTCTGATTGGCCAGTCGGGAGATGATTGACCGCAGTGCCTGGGTTCTGATTGGCCAGTCGGAGGTTGATTGACGCAGTGCCTGGGTTCTGATTGGCCAGTCGGGAGTTGATTGACTGCAGTGCCTGGGTTCTGATTGGCCAGTCGGAGGTTGATTGACTGCGTGTGCCTGGGTTCTGATTGGCCAGTCGGAGGTTGATTGACTGCGGTGCCTGGGTTCTGATTGGCCAGTCGGGAGTTGATTGACTGCGGTGCCTGGGTTCTGATTGGCCAGTCGGGAGTTGATTGACTGCGGTGCCTGGGTTCTGATTGGCCAGTCGGGAGTTGATTGACTGCGGTGCCTGGGTTCTGATTGGCCAGTCGGGAGTTGATTGACCGCAGTGCCTGGGTTCTGATTGGCCAGTCGGAGGTTGATTGACCGCAGTGCCTGGGTTCTGATTGGCCAGTCGGAGGTTGATTGACTGCAGTGCCTGGGTTCTGATTGGCCAGTTGGGAGTTGATTGACCGCAGTGCCTGGGTTCTGATTGGCCAGTCGGAGGTTGATTGACTGCAGTGCCTGGGTTCTGATTGGCCAGTCGGAGGTTGATTGACTGCGGTGCCTGGGTTCTGATTGGCCAGTCGGAGGTTGATTGACTGCGGTGCCTGGGTTCTGATTGGCCAGTCGGGAGTTGATTGACTGCGGTGCCTGGGTTCTGATTGGCCAGTCGGGAGTTGATTGACTGCGGTGCCTGGGTTCTGATTGGCCAGTCGGGAGTTGATTGACTGCGGTGCCTGGGTTCTGATTGGCCAGTCGGGAGTTGATTGACCGCAGTGCCTGGGTTCTGATTGGCCAGTCGGAGGTTGATTGACCGCAGTGCCTGGGTTCTGATTGGCCAGTCGGAGGTTGATTGACTGCAGTGCCTGGGTTCTGATTGGCCAGTCGGAGGTTGATTGACTGCGGTGCCTGGGTTCTGATTGGCCAGTCGGGAGTTGATTGACTGCGGTGCCTGGGTTCTGATTGGCCAGTCGGGAGTTGATTGACCGCAGTGCCTGGGTTCTGATTGGCCAGTTGGGAGTTGATTGACCGCAGTGCCTGGGTTCTGATTGGCCAGTCGGAGGTTGATTGACTGCAGTGCCTGGGTTCTGATTGGCCAGTCGGAGGTTGATTGACCGCAGTGCCTGGGTTCTGATTGGCCAGTCGGAGGTTGATTGACTGCAGTGCCTGGGTTCTGATTGGCCAGTCGGAGGTTGATTGACTGCGGTGCCTGGGTTCTGATTGGCCAGTCGGAGGTTGATTGACTGCGGTGCCTGGGTTCTGATTGGCCAGTCGGGAGTTGATTGACTGCGGTGCCTGGGTTCTGATTGGCCAGTCGGGAGTTGATTGACTGCGGTGCCTGGGTTCTGATTGGCCAGTCGGGAGTTGATTGACTGCGGTGCCTGGGTTCTGATTGGCCAGTCGGGAGTTGATTGACCGCAGTGCCTGGGTTCTGATTGGCCAGTCGGAGGTTGATTGACCGCAGTGCCTGGGTTCTGATTGGCCAGTCGGAGGTTGATTGACTGCAGTGCCTGGGTTCTGATTGGCCAGTCGGAGGTTGATTGACTGCGGTGCCTGGGTTCTGATTGGCCAGTCGGGAGTTGATTGACTGCGGTGCCTGGGTTCTGATTGGCCAGTCGGGAGTTGATTGACCGCAGTGCCTGGGTTCTGATTGGCCAGTTGGGAGTTGATTGACCGCAGTGCCTGGGTTCTGATTGGCCAGTCGGAGGTTGATTGACTGCAGTGCCTGGGTTCTGATTGGCCAGTCGGAGGTT